ACAGTGGTATTTCTATATCACTCTACAATTGATGTATTGAACACTATTTTAACAGTGGTATTTCTATATCACTCTTTTAACAGTAAAAGATATCTTGTTCATTGTATACTGAAAGGCTGTTGAAACGGCATGTCGATATACCATATATAAATAAACCAAGTACTAACGACCCCAACCGCAAAGCGAAATCCGAAATTATATATATATCTTAATATAATGTAGTAAAAACATCAGAGAAAGTCATTAATAAATGGACTTTAAAGCAACAAAAAGAAGCAGTAGATTGTTACATGAGTTTATTAACCACAGAACATGTAACTGCCAGTTTTATCATTACATTCATCATTGTATTTTCAGAAATAAAAATATAATGAAACAGGTTTTTACGTGCTACTTCTATGTATCTTATTTTGCCAGACCTTTACAAGGAAAGTGAAGTGACCTAGACTACACTATATATATCGAAACGGAATATTTTGACTTGATTAATTCATTTCAATAGAAAGAAGCTCATCTTATTCTCTCACTTTTGGATTAGGGACCAACATCTGTGGCTGAAGTGGATGAGCAGGGAATATTTTTTTCGCAATCGCTATTTGCACCGTCACGATGCGTGTTCTCTGTAGCTGCGAACAACGGTACGGATTTAGGACACAATAGGCGCGCAAATTTAGGGTGCTTTTTTTCAAACCGTGAGGCCATTTTGATTGCCAAAAATGATATAAAGGAACTTTGTTAGGATCATCTTTACTGTCAAGGCTGAATACAAATTGTGGGTTACCTCGAAAAAACCTTCTAAAAATTACATTAATTAGATGCATTCTGACACATATTTTTGGTCAAAAAATCATTAAAATCATCTCTTTAAATTTGTAAGAAATAAAGTGGGGGTACAATTATGGGTGAAAATGCCCCCTATACACCCACTGGTTCATAGTCCTGCAGTTCCGAATTAATCTATATCTGTCAATCATATTGAATTAGGTCAATGTCTGATTAATTGAGCTATGTCCGGCTGCCACCTGTCCCCTTGACACGAGTGCTCTCACAATGTGATATGATACTTAAAATTATTAGATTGGTGGCAAATCTCTCTAATGGAGATAGATATAGAACTCTTAATCTAATAAACTCCATCTATAAATGAAATTATTTACTTTTTAACAAAATTATCTCCCTTATTGAAATTGATTACCTCCCTTGATAATTAAACAGTAGTCTTGATCACTCTAGTGTTATATTTCAATATCTATGCTTCTTCAGTTAGTGTCTTGATGTCAAAGACTTTCATAAGATTAGATTTGATATCTGGGTGCAGTATTATATCATTACTTGATTAAGATTATGCCTCTTGAAAAATGTCAAACCAAAAAACACAAATGAAGTTCACAAAACAAAGGATAAATCCTCCGTATATTGATTAAAATCAAAATTTACTTCATTTACATTTTTCATAAAAATAATAAGTTATTGTCCATTGGGAGACATGGATTACTCGTTTTAATGACACATAAATATCCCCTCTTTAACAAGGATAAAAATGGTTTGAAGTTAAGACTGATACTATCATTCGTTGCTTAACTAAAGCTGAAAAGGGATTCGGGGTTATTCAGTGCATATAACAGTCTTTAGGAGTAGAGTATTGTTGACTACCTGATATGAAGGCCTCTGACTTCTGCCCAAGGTTTCAAATTGTCACTTCTAGATGTGTAGTTAAGTTAATTCAATATGACTGAAGTCCCGACCTAAAGTAGCATTAAGTACATCGTCTATTTCATGGTATTGTGCTGGCAACATAGCTGCCGACGGTCTGTTGTAAAAAAGTACAGTCAATGTTGAACAGTATTATATCAAGTTTGATGTGTTTGTACATGTTTCCAGATGGGTACCAATAACTTCGTTCCAGCTATACGCCATACCCCAAACAATCCAACAAAGGTGTTCAAAACTACAGAAAGCTGTGCCTAGAACGATGTCGGTTGAATGTGATCAGAATGATATTATTAACATGACAACTGATTGTAAAGTAAAAACATAACAATTAACATGATGAGGTTATGGCCATTGGGATCAATATCTCTCAGAATAATGTCCAATTACCATCAAATACACATTGGTCATCGACAATGTTGTGGGGTGATTTGTAAATAAGATAAAATTAATGGGCATTAGTCTTTTATTACAGTGGAATGCGGTCAAGTACGAGCGTGGTTTATGCCAGACCTTGTTGTATCTGGGTATTAAGAGTGAACAAGTCACTTGTTATAATCGGTACTATCCTCAAGAAGAGTTCCCTTTTCTCCTTTCTTTTGTACTTTTCCACATTTGAAATAAGTTTCATTGCGTATCGCCTATCCCCATCCCTAAATCTCTTTGGTCCCTATCCAGTCCTTCCATCTACTGATACCCGAAGCATTGTGACTCTACTGAAAGGTATCATTACATACTATTACATAAGCGAACAACCCACACAACAAAACCGGAAGTACAAAATTGCGCAAAAAACAGCCTTTATTGATTATACATTTATTACATCAGACAGAAATAATTAAATTTCAAAAATATAATATATCTAGTTTTTATGCTAAAGGACGACATTTATAATCTTTAATATTAGTTAGACCTTATTCCATGTAAAGCTTCCTGGTCATGGTTTCTGGCTTGCACCAATCTTTCTGCTCCCTGTATAAAATCTTTGCTTAAAGGGATTTTTTTCTAAATTTTGTATGTGTTTCGGGGATATTGATGGCATCAATTTGTGCGCCATTCCAATTTTCAATCAGACATCTGTGGTTCCTGCAATTCCAACAAAACTAAGTGTCACTAATCTCGGAGGCCTTGTATCACATCACAATATAGTCTATAGATTAGTGACGTGATCACACACTTACTGTAAGTGGAATTGCAGGAACCACAGACGTCTGCAAATTGATGGTATCAGTGTCCCCGATATACATAATTTTTTTTTAGAAAACCTCTTCACAGTTTCTTTATTTTACCTTATAATGTAAGAAGATTCTTGTATGCGTCACATTTTCTTATTAAAATCACATAGAAAAATAAAAAACTTCGAATCTCCCTTGAGCCATTGTTATCTGAGCATTGCGTCTTTTTATTGATAGCAAGCAAGTGTAAATTTATATGTCATTAAGATCAAAAAGTCAGATCTTTTTAGCCCTTAACTGTCTTCATCAAAATTTAAATTGCTTGCTTAGGGCCGAATATTGTTCTTTAGAAAAGTGTAAGACTTAAAACAACATGTGTTCAGCTCGAAGCATTCATTTCTCATAAGAAACTCACTGTTATTCTCTGAATTTCATGTTTTGCAAGCGGACGAGTTGATATCAATTTGAAAAGAAATCTATTCGGTTCATCCGGTTCCAATTATGCTCGTGTAGACGCGAGAACGAAATGTAATTAAAGGGACCAGTTTTCCCGCGGTTTGTAATAAGACAGGCGGTAAGATTCATTCACTGTGGAATATTAAGATCTGTTTATATTGACGTAGTCTCATCAACCCGATGATAATTGACACAATACAATCGGTATAGTCACGTTAGTCCGTACCAAGAGGCAAGCCAATTTGTGTCCAGTTGACAGACCTTGACATTAAGTAATAGAATCTGTCTTTTGTGTGTTTATATTAACAAAACAAAACGGAAAAATGGCTACGTGAAAACGTGTTGATTTGCCAGTTTGACAATCAAAATTTTTTATTATCAGATGCACCAGACTGCTAACAACTGCAATCATTATGATGGTTGCCGACTCACAGAGAAAATGAGCAACTCTCAGTCGTCTGAATGCAGAAATAAATCAGACACTCCTAGATGCAGCTAGATAGTTGTAGTCATCAGCCGAATTATGTGATTTTTATAGTCGTTGATAATACAGTCGGTCTAAGCTTCTGTCAGTCGAAAAGTCGTCTTAGGCCACAAACCCTTATTACCCCCGCACCCCAAAGTTTAAAAGTTAAAGCTTTATTGGTTTTATCTTACATTTTTCAGGATTGACATTTTACAAGCTGACAAGCAGATTATGGTCTGCGGTATGGAAATATATCGGATTGTGTCCGACCTGTGATGCTGTGATGCTGATTAATGGAGTCTAGCCTAGAGAAAGAAGCCGATCTAGTGCTGGTAGTAACCTCGACCTTTCTTAAATAGCATTAATACAAGCCACCAGGCACCCCAGGGCACGCTTAACCTTTATCTTCGCCAGAAAGAGAGCAATGTATCTTAGAGAAGATAAGCGTCAACGTACAAGAACACTTAACTGGTCATCTTCACAATGTCTAGGAACTCCATCTTATACCGTGACATCATTGGGCACTTTTATTATCTAGTGTTGGGAGAAACCTTGATCTAATACAAGTGACAAGACACCCCCAACCTATCTCAACCCTTAACTAAATGGGACAGATGCGGCATGTAGGGGGGTTGACTTTAGTCTTGGATATATGTAAATAGTCTTCAGGAGGACTAGAAATGAACGAAAATCGCTCAATTCCCTTCAAACTTTGAATTTTACTCACTGTTTCTATATATGTCTTATCTATATACATGTATTCCGGAGTATCATAAATGATAGTTAACATTCAAACGCAGGTAATTTTGGACACATGGATTGGAAAGCTCAAATTTCGACGGTGAGCTGTCAACACTGAGACTAAAGTATAATTGGTCAACAAATTGGCTCACCTGTCCCTTTAATCAGAAAGAGATTAACGGCCATTGATACAGAAACACTGAACCACTAATCTTCACAATGCAGAGGTATTACCCAGTCTAATACCTTGACATCATTAGGCACTTTTCTAGTGCAATCAAATGCCGGAATACCTCGATGTAATATCTGTCAAAGGACGCCCCCGGCAGAACGGGGGTAAATATGACTTGTCTGAGACCTTCCCCCGCTCCCTTTATATAATATTATTTTAATTTAGCTATTATCTCAAAATTTACACAAATAATAATGAAAAGTAATTAAAATGCAATCTTAAACTAATTAATTTTTTTTTATAAAATGTACATGTACTTGTGATCACAATTATATTACATGTAATTGAAAATAGATTATAACCTGCTCTCTACATTAAATACATCACAAATATCTCAAGTTTCATTACAGGAATCCTACTTTCTATAATGAACAAAAAATTCAAGTTCTCAACATTGGCAAAAATGAGTCTATATAAAAATCAGTACAAGCAAGACAATTCTGTTAATCAAAATCTTGTCCAAAGCATACTAAGATAGCTTGCCAGGCAAAGTAATATACAACCACTGGCAGCTTTGATTTTGAATAAAAATATTTAGTACAGTAACAATTACCAGTATGAAATATTCAACCTTCCGTCATACACTTCCTATGAACTCTTCAGGGCGATACTGAATAATATTGAGTATGAGTTATTGCCCTTGTTCTTGAAAACGTGTTCAATTTTTAGATCGTGAAAACATCAGCACACGTGGTGCAAAAAAGTCATACAGCATTCATTTCATTTTAATAGAGTCTACAGGCATTTTTTTAAATTCTTGTTGAATAGCAAATGACTTACTACATACATCACACTTTCAAGTTTATATTTTACTTTCAGAATGGAATGGCACAGTGAATAGCCAGATAAATTATTGACTGCAAGGTGATAAGATGCTATAAATACGATGTAACATCAATAGGTTATTGTATATGTATGATTTGAAAAGTTCATTAGTAAAATTAAGGATTTTTTTTCTTATCGGTTGACAAATTTATTTCTTTACATTTTTTACACAAACAACTGGAGTTCAAAATTTGATAATAACCCACACTGTGGGTGTAGATCTTCCCATTTCCTGTCATCCACAATGCCACTACTAAACTGTGACAATGCTGAGGTTATTGTCCATCACATTGCACTTTGTATATTCGTAAAGTATAAAAAAGCTTCACTTTCAGTAATTCCAAATGGATGTTGTCTCTTTTCCTGCTTTTCCACTCAATGCTATTTTGGCTTATCATTTTTCTGAGTCCCTTTAACTGCTGCCTGCCATAGAGCACTTTTAACAAATCTCTTGGCAGCAGGTTTGTCCAATTTGGGCGCAAGGGCTTTGTCTTGAATCTCTTTGACCCTTGCCATATATTCTTTGATTCGGTCCATTTCTTGTTTAATGGGGTGGTCCTTAGGATTGATTCCACTGATATTCAAATACATCCAAAATAAAGAGTTCAAGGAATAGACCGCTACAAGATCCATTTTGGCTCTTTCCAAAGCATTCAATTTTTCAGTCATTTCGATCAAAGAAGTCTGAAGTAAAGGTTGGAAATTTGTCTCTATGTCCGTCAACAACGAGTCCAATTCACTGAATTTGTCTTTTAACTCGGAAGGCATGTCTGTAGCAGACTTACTCGAATTCTTATTTTTCGGCATTCTTCGTTTGTTTACACTTTACTTCGCCATGTGTTATTATCGTTCTTCAATACGGATTGGTTTAGATTTATGTAGAAATCAAAGGGAGGTAATTAGTGGATTATTTTACGGATCAGAAAATACATTTAAAGACGGTTAAGCTCTATTCATCAGTAAAGGGATAAAGTTTGAAGAAAGAGCCTTTCCAATGTAAAATTGACCAAAAATAGAACCCAAATTTGCATTTAAGTCCTTTTTGCGATTAAGCGCGTGGGAAGTCGAAGGATCACCGCCATCTTAACCTAATTACGCCCTTCTATTCTATCTTTTTTGAAGAAATTCTAGACTGTACATTCGAATAGTCCCTGATATTAAATACCACACTTCTATAAAGTCTCTTGAGCTCTAACTTTAAAACCAAAGAGAGACACTCCATGGAGAGCGATAAAATCCCTGTAACCCTGGGATTTTAAAAAGGATTTTATTCCAAAGTCGTTCAACCTATAGAGCTGTTATTTGGTGAAAAGGTGTCTAATATATGTATGATTTTGAGGTAAAAATACTAGGGTCTTAGCTTTGATACATTATGAATAATATTGAAACGAGAAATGTTATCGTGCCATCCCAATTTATAAAAAAAGGAAAGAAGAAAGAAAAGGGACAGAGGCGACAGCCGCGCTCTCGCAGCCCCGAACGCAAGTTTGTCGTGCATGACTCTCAAAACTAGGTTAGAAACTTGGTCAACCTCAGATATTCGTCAACCTGGCTCCACCAATGGGTACAGCCTAACCCTCGAGTGTCTGATAGAGTAGGAGGAAATATTCGAGGAATAACTTGGTAATCACTCCTAGAAGTAATGGCATGGCTGGTATTGTTCATTATCACGTTCTAGAAAGAATAAGAAAACTGATAATGGACTGTTATTTATTCCAATAAACACCTTCCTGATACAGAAATCTTTTTTTATTGTGTAATTGCACGTCCTGGATGAGCTCCGGGTGCTGATGAATCAATAATTGACAATGTCATTGCACTTATCTTGTATAAATTCATTTCAGTATATTCATACTCTATATTTTGGAAAATAATTGAATAACATTACAATTTCGCTGCCGAGAGTAGAGCAATAGACAGCCTATTTGCTTATCACAATTTGTCATTGTTATTTTAGACTGTAGTTGAAAGCTTGTTAGATTACAATAGAGATCTTATTTATCAGGAATATCAAAAAAAAGATGATTTAGGTTTTTCTGAGATATCAAGTTCCTAAATCCAGATCACCATTGAGGGAATTTTGAGTCTCTCTTTTCGGAGCGCTGATGACTCTCTGCAAGATAGTTTTTGAAATGTATATTGTCTTAGAGACTGTATATACAGTAAATAATGTTAATTGAATATTGCTTCACATTTAAGAAGAAATTGAGGATCAATAAAGACCGAGGAGTCCATTTAGTTTTGGATGAGAGAATTTCTGCAGCATCAGGCTTACACATCTTTGGATTCCAGCTTTTGAGAGATTGACAATAACAATTGGAAGCATTTTACACATTTTAAACTCAACATGTTTTAATACACGAGCCTCTGTCAGCCAGACCTCAAATTACTAAATAGTTTCTTTCATAAAACTCATGGCCACGTCTGAATCCCCATCAATGGAAACTAAACCGTTCCTTATCGTTAGTGTAAATAATATTATCATTCAGTTAAATTATAGATGGTTCAGCACGTATTTTATAATCTTCTCTTACCACAAGACGTGGGCCAGTTCTAAACAGATTATGATTAATACCAATCTAATTAAAATTAGATTTCATTTTCGTCTTAATGGAGACCGACCCAAAATAAAAACGAAACTATGCATATTAACCTATGCATACGTAAGTCTAAGAGGTGAAGGAGCCAGGTTTATGTCCGAGGGGGGGCGAGGGTGCGAGATATCTGAGATTGCCCGAATCTTTAACCTAGTTATGAGATATTGGCCCGAAAAACTTGCTGTAAGAGTCATTGTAGGCCGACTTTCGTATCACATTATGAAAACTATGTCATCTACACACCCAACTAGCAAATTGAAACAAACACAGTTTTCACATTGAGCACAGGAAATTGTCATATATAGTGCCAAACTAATGATCATTATGTCTCAATCATAGAGTTCCATACAGTGTAACTTTTGTCTCTTATGTTCTTTCAATATTACTCTGTGGTCACTATCTACTGACCAGTTAGATAGGTTGTGTACAGATTATACCGGGTGTTTCGAAATTAGATCCCGCTTCCAAAACCTAAACTAGAATATGTATGGACACAAACTAAAGTGATTCTGAACAGGTATTTATTTAAGTTTCTCTCTGAGTATCTATCATTTTGTGGACTCCATCTGCTTCTTATTTCGAAACACCTTGTAGTAGATAGAAGGACACTTTTGTGGAACAATGGTTGAGTGGCCCTCTTGGTTACCCTAAGCTGAGATAATTTTCAGAAAGCTATCATGTGTCATCCGGAAGCAACTGTTGTATGGGTATTCCCCTTTAACATAATTATTATCTAAGCATTAATTTACCAGACTGTGGAGAATGCCATTAAGCTCTGCTTTTTATTCAGAAGTTAGTTGAAATGATTAAACCAATGGCGAGGAGTGGACTGAAAATTGAACCAAGATAAGAAATTGTGTTGCAGACTCATGTTTGATTTATTTCAATTTGGTATTCTGATTCGTATTAAGACTGGACGAATACATGTAATCCATTATACAGAAAGTTAATTGAACTAAGAGGCGGCTTTATAAATGAAATGAATGGAGTTTTATGTCCTTCACTTCTGCATATAATTGGGCTAATGGCAGGACAAGACAGATGTAGAGGGATCTTTAATGTGCACAGCCTGTCAGCCCCTCCGACCTGCATCACTGGCAAGGGGAAACCGGGTTAAAAAATCAGAAGGGATGCCGCTACAACCATTGACCAAGTAAGCATATATCATTATGCAATACATATTCCGTTTAAGAGCTTAAAGCACGTATTATCACAATTACTACCACCGTAACGTCCCTCCCCTTCTCGAAAATATCACGTTAAACACAGACCGTTCATTCACCATTCATCTTTGTACTGTTTGAGTTCATTCCCCTGCTTAAAAAAACGCCCTTGATCTGATCTGTCAAGATCTGTATTGCATGTTTCAACAGCTAAGATACGAAGTCTTATCATTAATTCATAAAGTTATGTGCTGTTAACACAAAACAAAAGTCGAGTGTTTCAATATCAACACATTAATAGCCTACATGAAAAATTACAGTCAACTCTTTGATAATCAAAGACCTCCCATGGTCAATTGAATAATGGAAAAGGGCCCGTAGCTAGAGAGAGGCGAGAGGCGGGAGGGGGTAGGCCTGTCACACCCTAGACATTGACTGTAGTATCATCTTTACAATGTAAAACTATTATGAACTTCACACCTTTCTTGTATCACAGAAGTTTGTAAATGAAGCGATTTGATTGGACTGGAAACTAACGAATACAGCCAATCAAATGGCTTCATGTATACACTTCTGTGATACAAGAAAAGTGACTATTGCATTCAAGGTATAAGTGGTTCGTAGTAGCTTGTCATTGTGAGGATGTAGCAGTATGCATACTAAGTTATCAAAGGTACGAGTGACAGAGTCCTCGGGAAAATCAATCTAATTTCTTACTTTTGCAGGAATTATATACCCTAGAATACTTTCATGAGCTAATCGAAGTGAGAACACGAAGCAGCTAGCGTTATCGAAAGATTAGCAAGGATGGTGACAAAAAAAGGAGAGTATAAAAATTAGTGGAATTGAGTTAATAAACAATTTATTGTAACATAATTAACTGTGTAACATTCAACAACAAACAAACAACCAACTCTATTTACAAATTATCTGGTTTTCAAAAATATAATCTACAGAATATCATAATTATCCATAAGTATATGGGAGTGTGGTTCACGTGATCCAACTAGCTTCGTATCAGGCGGCAAATATAAGAATATCAAAATCACCCTTGTCAAACGATCTGAAGTGTATTTTTAGAAATTGAAATCCGCGTTTACATTGCATAAAATTATCCGTGTCGACCGGGCCGAGCACGATTGGGCAGAAAAAGTGAGTGTTAACATGTTGAGAGGGCTCGGCACCGCCCTAGTTTCAAGTGGGCCGGGTCCCAAAAGTATAGGTGGTCGAAGTGCATTGTCAGAAGTGGACGAATATGATCATATTACCACAAATACCATCTGGCTTAAAAGTTCGTGACTATGAAGGCATAATCTCATTACAAACTGTTGTTCAATATCCAACTCAGCGTAGATCACAACAGGCGTTCCAGGTTGAAAATTATTCAGCAGGGTAGTTCAAAGAATTTATAAATTCTAAATCATCCACTTGTTCCAAGACAACGTTATCAGTAGCTACACGACTTTCAAGTAACTCTCTAGAGTGCTTCCTTTTATAATGGCGTTTCACAATAAACTTGGTGCTAAAGGTCTCATTGCACAATTCACAGCCGTAACGTTCTCGAGGTTGGTCGGAATGATGTAGTCGGGTATGTTTGTTTAAAGCAGCTTTATAAGGAAAGGTTTTCCCACATTCTTCACATTCAAATGGTCTACTTCCAGTGTGTATAGGTGTATGTCTTTCCAGCGTACATTTAGTAGCAAAAGACTTTCCACACACATCACATGAGTAAGGTTTCTCTCCAGTATGAGTTCTCATGTGAACTACAACTGCATTACGGCTTTGTGATGTATAGTGGCATACTTCACAACAGAATTGATTGGGATTTTCATGAGCTGAGTTTATATGTATCTTTAAATCTCGATGAATGGCATAAGCTTTACCACATATGTGGCATGTGATATCCTTCGCTTTAGCATGGTGGCGACTCATGTGGTATCTGAACGCTGATGATTTAAAAGATTTACCACAAATGTCACATTGAAAGGGTTTTAGATTCAGATGCTTGGATTTATGATGATATCTTAAACTCTTTCCACACTTAAAATTTACATTACAGATATCGCAATGCCAGATTTTGCCTTTAACATGCAATCCACAGCCGTGGTTTTCAGTCTGAGAATCGTGAAGGTTATGGAACGACTTATTACATTTCTTACATGTATAGTGCATGTGGGGGAAATAAACATATTTATGTCTTTTCAAACTGGTGGAATCCTTTAACTTTTTACCACAAACATCACATGGATACAATTTCTGTGGTTTATTTGGATCTTTGACAGGTTTAGGTTTCTTTTTGCTTCGGTAGGGCGGCAAGCCAAGATGGGCAGTTCGATGATGGTTTCTCCAATTGTGTCCATTCTTGTATACTTTGTCGCAAATATCGCATTTATAAACTTTATCTTTTACTGACAACAAACATCCATGGTTGTCCTTTTTTGACGCATGCTGTGTATGAAAAGCTTTATGACAGACGTCACATTTCCAGTGCATGCCCTTGAAAAATACGGTTTTATGGCGATGCCAGGCTGTCCAACCCGTGAAATGTTTTCCGCAAACGTCACATGTATATTCTTTTGTTGCTGGTTGGGAACATTCAGTTTGTGATTCTTCAACTGGTTCTGTTTTGATCTCCATTGGTTCAGTCTTTATCTGAGAAGCTGAACGTAGTCTCATGGTGCCAGTATTGAGGCTGTTTCCTTGAAATGTCATTACTGGTTGGTCTACGTACAATGTTGGAGGAAATGTTTTGAATATGTAGGAAACGGGTTGAGGTTCTGGATTATACTCGTCAGGGGCATTGATGATATTTCTCAACTTATCAATGTAGTTCTCCGTCTTTTTCACGGGATTAGCAAGTAATTTTTTTCTTTTTGCTGGTGGAAGAACGTTTGGAGGGTTAACTATAGCTTTCAGAGAAATATCCTTAATGGGCTTGGAATTCTTTTGTGGGCTGGTATAGGCGTGGTCTAGTTCATTATCATTATAAAGGTTCTTAATCAGATCTGGATTGTCAACAGACGATCTTGTAACCAACGGATCTTTAGTTTTGGTGAATTCTTGGTTGTCGTTTTGAGTCAGATCAACAGATGCTTTGTTAGCACAATCATTGCTAGTGCTTGAAGCGGTTAAGGAGTCTGAAGAAGTCATAGTTGTTGTAGGATTTCCAGAAAGAGTAGTCCCCCTTACTTCAATGGCAGCATCGTTTGCTAATGGGGCAATCTGAATTGTGGAAGACTGTTTGCTCTCAGTGAAAGGTATTTCAATGTCCGATATCATTTCGTTAATGGATGAGCTCTCTTCGAATGTTACGTCATCAACTTCCAGTTTGATAATCTGTCCTGGAGCTTCAACTTTGGCCTGGGTCTTATCTTTATTAATATTTTTACCATTACCAGCATCTGCATCTGTTCTCGTATCACCATCTGAGAAAACATCATTCTTCATTGCATTATCACCAAAAAAGTCATCATCATCATCATCATCATTATCACCATTGTCTTCATCATCATTAGCATAATAATCATCATCAAACACATCAACCACTTTTTTAGGAATCTTCACATCAGCAATCTTGACCACATTCTGAAAAATACAAATATTCAGTTTTAAGATTATGGAGAATTTTTTGGAATTAATAGCTCCGTTAAAAAAATTGTAAAAAGGTTTTCTAAATTTGTTGTGTACCAGGAAAACTTATAGCAGATATTTACACCATTTTCAGTCATGATTTTGCTATCCAAGAGAATTAAGGGGTTTTATGATGTTACTATCGCAAAGGTTCTTGCAATAGTGACGTCATACATGACTACCGGTATTGCTATTATTACAGGAACAAGAGACATCTGGCGGGAAAAATGATATGATGCAATATATGTATGCATAAATAAGCTAGAGAATACCCTTTTCAACCTTTAGTAAATTATCCATACTACAAATTTACTCAAGAACAATCCCCTTCATTGATAATAAATGGATGCTATTTAATCCCTAGTCCACATAGAGTCTTCAAATGGCATTTATAAATATTAAGTATGATATATTGACACAGCTGTATGGAACAACAAAAGAACATAAAAGTTTAAACCAGTGATTGATTGACCAGCTGTGTCTATCCTCTCCTATGTATTTGATAAATGTGGAGGTATGAGAATTATCCAAAACAACTTGTGAAAGTGTATGAGTCAAAAGAAACATTTTATCTTTAGGAAAAACTTCCAGCTGGATCAATAGTGAAAAAAAAAACCAGTCATCAAGACATTTACAGTCACTAACACTTTCACTATCAAAAACAAAGCTTGACCACAACAAGCCGACTGAAATTTATGACAGAACTGTAACAATCTGATCATGTTTTATTTTGGAGCAGTCCACTAGGAAATCTTCACAAAGCAAATAGAAGCTTTTATATTTTTTTTTAATAGAAACTATTATTGTCTTAAATGCACATAGTACCTGAATCCTTTTCATGACAGTATCAATTTAATTCATCTTTTATTTCCAACAAGTTTTAATTTAACAGATTACGCAGTATAAGGTTTTATAACAGATACTCTCTTATAGAAGCACTGGCCTAGGTCAAAGTAGGGACTGTGGATTTCAGCATTGGAATACATCATTTTGATAGAAAATTACCTACTTCTGGAGAGATTTACAAGATAAACAAATAATTCAGAAATGCAAAGGGATTATTTCAGGGAGTTAATGAAAGGGGATCTAATCTACCATGGACAAGAACATTACTCAGATTTTTATTCCAGTATATTATAGACAACACACATTATACCTTAGCTTTTATATAAATTTACAATATTTTAACATTAATAATACATTATATTAACACCAGTCTAGCTCTCTGTTAGCAAAATATTATGAAGGATTTCATTTCTACTCAAAAAAAAAGAAATATCAGAATATAATGGCAAGTCTTAACAGTATTAATAACTGGTACCTTATCAGTACCAACAGTTAAACTATGACAAACAAATATAGAAAAAATAACCTTTAATAGGTAATAATAAACAGCTAATAGAAATTAGTTATAGTTAAAAATTGACTGGAATGGAAATGGAATTTTACATAATTTTCATGCTGTGCTGGAAGCTTACTTGCTGATTTCATTGTTAATAATCAAAGATAAGATTCAGATGGTTAAATAACCAATGGTCATTCTATGGCATAAACTTACTTGCTAATTTCATTTTTAACATATGGTTGCATAATCATATAATCATGCATTACAAATTGGGCAAATAATACACAAATAGCTAATAAGTCATTAAATGAAAGTTTTACTCTGAAAATTATCCATTTATGCTTGCACTGTTTAAGACATGAAACTTATAACAACTCGAAAACCTCATAATATTCAATAGAAACTTTAATGAAATGAAATGAATAGAGTTTTGCCTCCTACTCTTCTGTACCTATAAACTTATATTGAAGGCAGAATATTGACAAAGCATGGATTTTTGTCTGCTGGAGTAATCTCCCTTACATCCACAATACTTCTACATCTGCGACTGAGGGCACATCCTCTACAATAACAGTTTGTTTAGTCGACTCTGAAGGGATGGGCTGGTTTTTATGTTTTCGACGATAATGACGTTTTAAAGTGCTTTTATCGCAACACGTGACGTTACACAATTCACATGAAGATCTTTTTCTCGGTTCGCTAGCATGCTTTTTCTTTTTATGGACATCTAGTCTGTGGGGATGCTTAAATGCCCACGGACACTCATCACATTTATAAAGTTTTTCATCTACATGTATAGCCATATGTCTTTCCAAAGAACTTTTAATTTTAAATGATTTGCCACATTTGGAGCAAGTATATGGTCTCTCGTTAGTATGAGTTCTAATGTGTATATCCAACGCAGATTTTGATTGTGAAGTATAGTCACAGTATGTACAAGATCTTTTACTTGCATTATGATATTGAATGTGCCGTTTTAAATCCCTCGCTACTGACATAGTTTTGCCACAAATATGACACACCAAGTGTTTTGAAGCTTTATGTCGTTCCAGATGATATCTGTAATACTCAGATTTAAATTTCTTACCGCAGATTTCACAAGTAAATAAAGCAATACCCAGATGTTGGGATTTCTGATGTATCTCAACAGATTTTGCTTTGCTAAACAATTGACCACATATTTCACATTTATGTTTCTTGGGAATTTCGGAGGATTTCTTTCTGTTTCGTTTCTTTTTAATGACAGGTGGGGGTGGAATCCCATCCTCACTTTTGGCAACATCCATTTTAATCATGATCTGTGACTTAGATTCTGGTTCAGGCAGACTGTCACCTTTTTCCAAGATCGATTCTTTTTTCCTCTTCCGCGACTTAGGTTTTGGTTTCACTTTAGAAACACTGTTTTTTTTTTCTACAGGTTGTGTTAAAAGATCCCTTAATTTAGGGGCATTTCTCAATCTTGTTGGTTTGTTTTTGTTCAACATGAGGCTGATGACTGATGACCTCTTGGTGTTGACCTCACCAATTAAAATCTGAACATCCGTTTCATCTGATTTGTCAATTTTTTCCTCTTTTACAGCAACTTCTTTAGATACTTCAAGACTATCTTTTGGGGAATTTTCAAGACTATTTTTGACTGAAACTGTTTTCTTTGTGATTTTCTTTGAAAGAGAATCTTGTTTGGAATGATTTTCCCTGTCAGTTGCAGCTGCTTCAACATCTCCTTCTTTTGGCCTTTTTTCTGGATTATTCTTTGCAGCTTCTTCATCATCTACTCCAGGATCTTTGACAGTTTCAGGGTTTTCATCCATGAAACCATCAACCTCATCATTCATAGAATCATTATCACTATCCATTCGTGTTACAACTATCTGTTCAACTGAATCCTTTGGATGATGTAGATGAAGGACCTCCTGCTCCTGAAATGACAGTGAAATAGAACACATATACAAGACCTTAATGAATGAAATAGAGTGTTACATCTTACTTTTGAGCTGAACCATTGTTCTTCCCACAATAAACCTCAGGACCTGAGCAATACATATACATAATATACTCGCAGTAAAAAGACCTTTCGTACTGTAGTCTTAAAAATTGGATGTAGCTGACAATGAAGGAATTCTTTAATCAGTTTCCAACCACTGAGAGGCAGTAGCACATGGGAGATCTGTTTATTGTCCTATCAAACCCTTTTCAATGTCAGTACCTTTAAAGGAATAGTAAAGTGGTTTTCTGAATTTTTTATGCATATCGGGGACTCTGATAGCATCAATTTACATCCTTCTAATTTTCAATCAGATGTCTGTTGTTCCTGCAATTTTGATAAAACGTTTTTATGGCGTCGACCCCCAAAAGCTTTGATGCAAAATTTAAAGGGAGTGACATCATAAAGCACTTAGTTTTAGTTGAATTGCAGGAACAATTGAAACTATCAGTGTCTCCAATACACATACAACATATAGAAAATCTCTTTATAATCTCTTTAAGATGTCTTTATATATACATACATGTATAGAAGAGTAAACAAATTAAAATGTGTTGTTATAACTGGATATTTTAATTGAAATTCTGGCAAGAACAACATTTTACTCTACGGTAATTTTAATATCATTTAAGAACAAATTAAATGCTTTGCAATAGTAATAAACTGAGAAAACATTTTTAAACAAACAATAGAAAATCAAAATCCAGAAAAGCAAACAGAAAAGAGAATCAATCAATATTACAGTGACAATTAAAAATCTAGAAAAAAATAATATGGGAATGTTAAGTTGAAAATTTCAGATGTCACAGCATATTTGTGACTTAAAAGAACAGGACTGTCATCCGTTTGACCAATCAATACGTTAGTCTCAGAAACAGGAATTTTTTGGCCAAGTTAATTAGTAATTTTGTTAACAGCTCACCTGGAGTCTTATTCTTGAAACTTAATTTTAAGATGATTTTAGAGTTTCAGTCATGTGATTGGTCAATCTCTAAAATTGTTTAAAGAGTTTAGGCTCATTAACCAATCAGATTACTGTATGTCTTTAAAATCTGGATTTTTTTTTTTACTTAATTTATTCAGGAATAAGGCTTCTGATAATTTACCTATTTTAAACACACATAATTGTAACTGTAACAAACGCTTTACATTCAGAGTTCAAGGAATATTTACGATAATCTTTTAAAATTTACAGTAAGATTTATATTACAAATGGCATTGCCAATCATGTTTGATTTTAAATAACATTCAAGTAATGGATTCCAACACAAAGTCTGCTGCATTATCTACTAACTCAGTAATACAATCTATCTGAATCTCCGTTTCTGATTTTGATATATTGGAAATTTCAGAACCTAGTACATTGTCCGATTCCGGTTCCATCGTGTTGTCTGGAGGTGTCGTTAGTTCCATTGAGTTATCCAATGGTTTAGTTCGTTTAAGTACTATATATTCTTGGTGTTTAGGAGTATAAACATCACTGTGCAATCTGGCGCAATGCCTCGATCTTGAACTAGCAAAAGAAAATGACTGATCACAAAAACGGCAAGAATACCGCTTCCTTTTCCCAAGATGGATTTTTTGAACGTGTTCATTTCGTAGGCTAATGGAATAAAATTTCTTATCACACTGACTACAGGGGATGTCCTTGTTTCCTTCATGTCTTTTCATATGAATATTGAAATTACTGAAGCAGTGAAATGTCTTGTTACACACTTTACATTGATTTTTTGCAACTTCAGAATGAACCTTCATATGAGCATTTAAAGTATATTTCAATTTCATAGTTTTACCACAAATATCACAAGAGAAGGGCCTGGCATCTGAATGTATTGACATATGCTTTTGTAAATGAAAATTGGAGGTGTTGATACGCCCACATATTTTACACATAAACCTTGTATCGTTTCTATGCAGCATCATGTGCCGTCTGATGTACTTAGTTAATTTTTTACCACAAACATCACATTGAAAAGGTTTGATTTTGTCATGGACGTGCTTAATATGATAATTCAAGTAATTCTTCTTATGAAATTCTTTTCCACAAATTTCACAAACGACAGGTTGACTCACACGTTTCTTAGATTCTTGACTAAGAGGTCTATTGGGTTTGGTGCCACAGATATGGTCCTTTTGTTCTTCTTCAAACAAAACCAGGTTACAACCACTACATACTTGGTGATTTCTACAAAATAACTTCATGTGTCTTGCATAACCACTATAATGGACAAAATGTTTACTGCACACACCACATTTGTAAGGTTTTTCTCCACTGTGGGTTCTCATATGAGTTGCAAGATAATAACTATTTAATATTTTTCCACAAATTGAACATTTCTTTAGCTTTATCTTTTTTAATTGCTTTTTCCGTTTTGGTTGCATTTTTTTTTCGTGATCTTTGTTTTTCGCCTCTTTTTCAGGACCTTGGATCTTGTCTTCTAACCCTTTTTCCGAATTTGTTGTCGTATTTGGGTGGACAACCAAAATTATGCTATTATTAGAATCTTTTGTTTCTGCATCTTTATTTTCTTTCTTTTGAGAAGCAACAAAACAATGGATACAAAAACCAAGTTGTGCATTGCAGCTTTTGCCACACTTAGAACATTCAAAATGAGAGTTCTTTGGATTCTTTGAATGCTGGTCTAGAGCAACTTTGGTAGAAAACCCTATATCACATATTGGACACTTATAAAGCTGGTTTGGAACAGGCTTGTGTGAGGATAGGGAAGACTCTGGCTTCTTTGGAGGTGAAGCTTCAGGCTTCTTTGGTGGATTTGTAGGTTTAAGCTTTTTTAGAGTTGGAGGTTTAGGATTATTCTGAGGTCTTCGTATAATCTGCTTTTCAGCTTTTTTAGAAGATCTCAGAGTCACTGATAACGGTGAAGAGGAAGGAGAAATGTAAGTCTTTGAAGAAGGATTGGTTTGTGGAGGTATGGCAGTGATCACAGGCTTAGATTTAGTAAGAGTTTTACACTTTTCTGAAGTTTTCTTCTGTTTGGCAAGAGCTTTCACTGATGAAGAAGAAGAGGAAGGTGCTTTAGATGAATTGCGACCTGTCTTCAAGTGCTGAGTATTCACTGTAAAAATTCCTACATGAGAACCTACCATTTCTGAAAATTGTCTAGCACGGGAAGGATTGAAAGAAGTATTGTCTTGAATAACTGAAGTTAGATTGGCATTCCGGGAACATGTCACTGGATTAGATGGTTTCTGAACTAAACCAGGAGCTCCTGAAGCTTGAACAGGTAGCTTTGCTTTCCTATCTTGATCTAATAATAAAGAGCTGTTTTTCAGAAGACTATAGGAACCAGCTGGGTTTTGCATACCATCTAATTTCACTAGAGGCTGTTTGTTGATGGGAGATTTTTTACCTACTATTGGCGTTTGATATTTTTCTACAGGACTGGAAGTGGCGGCTGAGTTTAAAGATTGAAACTGAGTTCTGGGTCTTTTTGAAGGCTGCTGATGTTCCTCTGAAATACTTGTCAGTGTACCATGGGTTACTGAAACTAAACTTGATTTGAGACCAGTAGAACTGCATGTTGATGCTGGTGTAGCTGGTTTCTCTTGGGAACGAAATATTTCTACCAGTGATTTCCTCGAATCTGCTTGTGGAATAGCTCGTATTGGATTTTCTGGTGTATCTTGGTTTAAATTTTTGTTTCCATTCAAAATGCCTCTAAGTACTCTGGTGGACTGGATAGACAAAGCTGATAATTTTGGCAGTGTCAATTTTGGGGTAGAAATTGCCTCGACGCTGTTTTGAGATTGTTCTGAAGATTTTCCACACTGATCATCAATAGACTTTAAAGGACTTTCAGCTTCAAATGTAGGGACATCATTGGTTGGTTGATTTTTTGATTCAACTGCAGGTAGTTGATTGGTTAAAGATTTCCTGATGTGTGGCTGTAAGGCCCCCTTAAACGATTTCTTGGTATTTTTCTTGTTCTGGAGTGAATGGCCTTTAAGTAGCATCCTTAAATTTCTTGCGCTCTTTTTAACTTTTGAAGAGATCTTGGGTTCATCAATAAGACTTTTCATCCAAAGTAAATCTGTCTTTTGTTCAGTTGTCAATTCACATTCCTCAAATTCTTCTTCTGATTCATTTTGCAGGTTTTTGTCAGTATCAGGGTTCGTTGTTTCAAAAGGGATTATCTCCCCATTAGAAGTCTCATATTGAGATTCTAAACTTTGAGAATCAGATACTGTTCTTACATGTGATACGCAAGGCAGGGCATCATCTTGAGGATTGATGGACAAGGAAGCGTCTGGACTAGTTCGATGGGTAGCAGGCACTGAAGATAAGGTGTCAGTCTTATTGGGGTCTATAACTGTTTGTTCAACAAAAGATGAATCACCAATAAGTTGGTCCTCTATGATAATATTTTCAATAAGTGGACTTAATGAGATAGTGGAACCATCTGAGTTCATTTGAATATTAATCTGTTCAGGATTCAAGATGATTTCATCATAAAAATCTGCAGCAAGTCCTGGGTTTTCAGAGAAGATTTTATTGGGAAGATCTTTGGTGTGATCAAGATTCATATCTGTATCACTCTTATCTATGTAAAGTTTTGATTGTACCAAACATCTTGCTGGAGTGAGTTCTTCAGCTTCATCAAGAGCAACTTCATCAGCGACAGAAACTTCATCACCATTCTTTTCTTTAGGATATTCAAGCTGTGCAGTTTCTATAATCACATCTACACCACCCTCATCTATGGGTAGTTTTGATTGTTTGGAGTATATCTCTTGATTGATTTCTGTAGTTTTATTAAGAATCTTTTCAAACTTGTCTCCGGTAACAGGTTTTGGTTTTTGGTTCGTCATATTTGGAGAGTCATAAAGAAGGGCACCTGCAACATAATCCATAGGAAGTTCTGGATGTTCAAGGCCCATCTTCAGAAGCATCTGTTGTCCAGTATCATTAACCATCATAATCTCATCCTCGCTACTTATTGAACCAATTACTTTTTCAAAGTCTTCAGAACCAGCTCCCTGAAACGGTAAAAGAAGAGTTTTGTTACATCATTCAGGGGATTTCGACTATCTGAAGTTCCAGATACCAAACTGAATGAAGATACCATTGATTGCAAAATAATTTTGGTTCAAAATTTGATTTTTTTTCTTGCAAATTTTATTTTTATCAAGCCAAATTTCAAAATTTTCCTTTTGAACTTTTCCACAATATTCAATGGTATGTAACAAAACTCTTCAAATACTGTTTTGGTATCAAAACTTTCAGATACCTGTCAAATTTGACAATTAAAAATAAAACGTAATATCCAGCAGTGTTGTACGTCGATCTCTATTAATACCATAAACATGCTCACAGTCAAATCTTTAATTTTAAATTACGCAAAGTAAGCAACAATTTAATAGTTTACTTCATATATTATTATTGTACTCTCAAATAAATGTTACTACATTGAATTGTATAAACGCATCCATCATAGCTACAACTAACTTTTATTTAACTGTAGATGTACTAGATACACATTTTCAAATTAAAAAATTATAAAAAAAGTTGAAAAGCTGAGCTCCTCTTTAGAGGGAAAAAAGCCAATATAATTTAATATCTTTATGTGAAATCTTGTTTTTTGGAGAAAATTGAACGTTATTACAATCATTGATATTGAGATTTTAATCTGAACTGATTTGAATTAGCGAAACATGATTTTGTATGAAATTGCTGGAATAAATAGTCACATTAACTCTTTGATGTTGTTTCTGATTGATTTTGATACCACATTTATTCTACCAGGCATAATTTCTAATTTCATTAATGACTGGAATATCTTTTTCTTAATCTGAAGCAAAAGATGTCAAATATCTACTTGAGGTAATTCACTTCTCAAAGAGATAGTCTAGGTCATATTTCAAAGAGATAGTCTAGGTCGTATTTCAAAGAGATAGTCTTGGTCATCTTTCAAAGAGATAGTCTAGGTCATCTTTCAAAGAGATAGTCTAGGTCATCTTTCAAAGAGATAGTCTAGGTCATCTTTCAAAGAGATAGTCTAGGTCATATTTCAAAGAGATAGTCTTGGTCATCTTTCAAAGAGATAGTCTAGGTCATATGTCAAAGAGATAGTCTAGATTATCTTTGAAAGAGATAGTCTAGGTCATATTTCAAAAAGATAGTCTAGGTCATATTTCAAAGAGATAGTTTTGGTCATCTTTCAAAAAGATAGTCTAGGTCATATTTCAAAGAGATAGTCTATGTCATTTTTCATCTTGTCATATAATTCTGCTTGTATATTGGTCAATCAAAGCTTGGGCAGCCGAGGAAATCGAATCAAAACATTAACAGCATTTAATAACAAAATATGAAAATATGAAATAAAATAGCATGCAGATTAAGAACAGTGAAAGATTATCTTTTACAAATTGTTAGGTTGTGATCAATCACAAATAAGCCAATTGTAATGCTTATTGTCCTTTTATTAACCTTTTCACCATAGTATTAAGCATTATGACTTTCAGAATCATTTGCAACAGTTAAATGCACCTATCAAAATCTTGAAAATATGTATGTGAGGCCTACAATTCCAAATGATGAATACACAGTCAGATAACATTATATTGAGTTTCAACCTTGATCATATGAAACTAATTATGGTTCTTAAAGGGACAGGTAGGCCATTTTTTGACCAATCATACTTAAGTCTCCGAAATAGGAGTTTAGGAAGTCTAATAAGTCAATAGCGTTCTCTATTTGTAAAGGTACCACTTCATTAACTTCAGAAGTCTGGACAGTAACTTCATCGATTACAGGTAAGGTAGAGCCAGAACCATAGCTTTGGCTTGTCTTTAATAGATGGACATATTCCTTGTGGAATCTTCTCATATGCTGCATAAAAGTTCCACGGCAGCTGAAATCCTTCTCACAATAGTCACAAGGAATACGTTCTGGTTTGGGTTTGTTGTGCTTAGAGACGTGTGCTCTTAGACCCATTTTAGTTTTATTACCATGCCCACAGATGTTACAAACAAATGGTTTAGAATCACTATGAGTTAGCTCATGCCCCTTTAAGTAGTACTTCTTAATAAATGCTTTATCGCCATATCTACATTTAAAAGGCTTCTCTCCGGTGTGCGATCTGATATGAACGGTCAGTTGGGATTTAAGTTTGTATGCCTTTCCACATACAGAGCATTTGTGTTTCCAATCTTTCTTATGAAAACTCATGTGAACGCTCAGAATAGATTTAGATGCATATTTTTTGTGACATTGTGGACACTCAAAAGTCTTCTCCAGTTCATGAATATTTCTCAAATGTGACAACAAACTGCTGTGAGATGAAGCTTTGTTTCCACAAAGATGGCATTGATGGGCTCTGACTTCATGTTCGCGAAATTTATGTTTCTCCAACAGATCAGCTCCTTTGTATCTAGAAGTAGTAAATGAGTAATCACAGATATCACAGTGAAAGGTTTCAACTAAGTTATGTTTACAATCAGCTTTGTGTGAAACCAAGTCTCTATATTCTGTAAAGTTTTCTCCACATATGTGACAATTATATGACTTGGAGTGACGTTCCTGATGGCTTTTTAGGTTTCGTAAGCCTTTTACATGTCTCCCACAAACTTCACATTGAATTAATTGGCTTAGGTAATCCTGTCCATATTGGACTTCAGCTATTTCTGATGCATGTCCACTTTTCCTGAGATGGAAATTCAGATGCTTATAAAGGCCCATGGACTCTTGCAAGAAATTCTTTTTTCAGTCGTAGGTGAATCAAATGTTTCATTGATAGTTTCACTAATGGATCGCTTACAAGCAGATTTTTGTTAACATGCAAATCAGCTTGACCTTTCAATTTGGTCTGTTTAATGCCAGGAGATTCAATTCTTGGTGACTTCCTAGTCAGGTTGATTTGTGTTGGATCTTCATTAGAATTCATTTTATTTTCCATTTCTCTCGGCACACTTTTCTGTTCAGATTTGGGAATGGTTGGAGTTTTTGTATTTTGTGAAGATGATATGGTTTTACAATGCGTCATCATATTTTCGGGCCTTAATTTTGCTAAATTGGATTCAGTTCTGGAACGAGTAACCATCTTAGAAGGTTCATGCACAGTGTTTTTAATAGCATCCCTCGAATCTCTAGTTTTTCTCACAAGAGTTTTGGCTCCTGTCTTGTCATAAGGCAAGTTGAAAATAAGAGTTATTTTATTAGTCTCTCCAGCAGTAGATATGCACCTTACATTGACTGCATTAGTACTGTCACATTTGTTTTTCACAAATCTGGATTCTTTACTTTTTCTGGCACTTTCTGCAAATGCTGGGTCACTTCTTTTAAATATAGTCTAAATTTGTTCGGTATCTTTCGTTACCTGTCGCTCAAATTGGCTCTCCATTCTTGGTAAATTGATTACCTGAAATGATAGAGCCAGATTTAGCCGACAGGTATCGAAAGATATGGATCTGAATCTGTAGTGGATGGTTGCTAGGAGTAGACACTGAACCAAATCTTGAAAGCACAGGCATCCCTTATTAAACAGTATTAAATCTTGTAATATTTTTCATTAAGAAATTTACATTTTAGATCCAAATCCATTTTCAAGCCAACGTCCTGCAGTATAAATGTGAATGTTCTTGATTCAATATGGCCGATGTGTGAATAAGATACATTATCCATTACTTTTGCCAGCTTTGGAAACCAGAGACCAGGTGATAGCAATTCACTTTTCAGTAAATACATCAAAAACATTTCAATTTAGTTCGTCTTAAATATTACTGACAATCTTTTATGTTTATAACACTCTGTCTATTATTAATCTTTTAATGAAGAAGGATACTCAGTTTACAAAATCTGAGCAAGCAAACTCGCATAGCAGTAGGGAGAATTCAGCAAGTACAAAATAACCTCACTCATAAATTTTTGTTGAACAAAGTGGTGATTATTTTATGGACTTTGTTGTTTCTAGATGATAATTAGTGTATGAATACCCATTGAAAGATATGAAAATCATTGATGAAATAGATTAATACATGTAGTGAGCAGTTAAAACTTAAACAGTGTAACAGAATCTGAATTACAATGCAATATTCAAATACTGTAACTTTAGAAGTGCACATGTATAGTCACAATGTCTAAAGATGGCAAAGAAAAAGTTCTCAAGTATAGTAGTTAAATGAAAGTCTATCTAATATTTTGTCTACAACAATTAACAAAATTAATGGTAATATGGAAGCATAGGCAAACTACTCTAGAAGTACTGTAAAATATGAAAAGAAGTTTGTGTTTTTCAAGAACTATTTATCAACTAATTAAATATTACAAGTTGTATGTCAACCACACTAACAAGAAGCATCAAGTGTTCTAAAATGATGAGCATGATCTGCTCTGCTCTGATTGTAAAAGTTTATTTGAGAATAATTCATTGTTGGGAAAGACCAACAGATTAGAATTTGAATCAATTAAATTCTTATTTTTTTTAGTTTGAGCCCTATTTACAGCTTTTATTTATTACAAAGTTTCAAAAATTCTGACATATTTTGACTGTGCTTCCAATAAAATTCATACAAGATCATTTTCTTGCTCACAAATTGGCTCATGTGATATTAAATATATTCTTTTGAGAATAAATATCTTTATTTTAAATCTGATTTGAATCTACAAGTACAAGAAAACATTGTAATTTACATAAAGATTTGTTCCATATACTATCCCAAAAAAAAATGCCAAAATGACTGAGTTCAATGGAGAAACAGTGAGAGACCAATTTATTGAAGAAAATGATTTGATCAAATCTAGGATTATACAATCAACCTACCGTTTTTTTGCCAAGCAATTTTTCACAATTCTCTTTCAATATTTTTGCATCAAATTCTTCAGACAATTTCAAAAACCTTTCACACGTTTCATTGTTCACCATTGTTGATAAAGCTTTCTGACATCTGAAAATATATTAGGATAATACTGATATAGATTAAAAATTATACTTTCTATAGTTTAATTGGCTAATGAAGACAGACTATGCTGTAAAGAAAGAAACAACTATATTTTACAAGGATAACAACTTAGGTTCACAGTTAAGGATTCTTTCTACCAGCTGGTCCTTGACCAAACCTCTTTGCATTGATATTTCCGGGATTATCTGAACCCATTTACTGAAATTATAACTGAAATTGAAGATGACTTATTCAAGGTCATCGGACTATCAAACACTGATCGACGTCATGTTAAGAACCAACACTCTAACCGACTGTGCATTAGAACCTCACTAAATGAGGAACATTGAAATAACAATGAATGGGTATCAAAAACTATTCTCTACCTGATATGTAATGCTTTAAGTTTACAGACTTTAGCTGCTTGCATCATTTCAATGAAGAAATTATCATCCAATTGAACAGAATAACCACCAAAATCATCTGTATAGACCCATTTCATTAAGGCATAGCCAACATCATATCTTAAATCTATAACGAGAATCGAATCAAACGTTTTTTACTTTATATTTTCAGGCATTTCTATTATATGAGTTTTAGAAATATCAAAACATAATCTAAATCATGTTTTTACTAATAGATTCACGGTATTAGATCTTTAGACAACTGACCTATTTCAGCTTGGGTCCCCATTGAAGTTAGACAAGTAGAGTTTTATATTTTTATCTCCTTATGCAACAAGCCGAAGACAAATTTATACACTCACTAAATTATGATCAATTACTTATCATTTGAATGGCTGTTGGCTAGGTGATTGGGTGCCATTTGAATGACCCTCAAGGTAAGAAAAATTCTGATCTCAAGGCCAGAGCTAGAGAGTCGTTCCAGCATCAGCCACACGCCACACCCTCTTACACATAATGAGTTATGAACACAACACAATGAAAACTCTTTGAATGGCATTTAGCAATTGTGAGTACGATATATAGACACAGCTTTATGGAACAACAATCACTGGTTAAAGTTTTATGCA